ACACACACAGTGAGGGGGAACGGCTCCCCCAAACACAGACACACAGTGAGGGGGGACATGGCCACTGCACAAGCTGTGAGGGTGGGGAATGCCCCCACACATACACTGCCATGAGGGAGTGTGATAGCCACACACACTGTGAGGGAAGGTAACATGCACACACACTGTACTGAGAGCAGGTAACGGCCCCACACACACCTCGATTCAGGCAGGTAACAGTCACACACACACCTCCTCTGGGGCAGGTACCAGCCCCACACACACTCCCTTAGGATAGGTACAGCCCCACAAACACTCCCTTGGGGCAGGTACAGCCCCACACACAGTCCCTTGGGGCAGGTACAGCCCCACACACAGTCCCTTGGGGCAGGTACAGCCCCACACACAGTCCCTTGGGGCAGGTACAGCCCCACACACAGTCCCTTGGGGCAGGTACAGCCCCACACACAGTCCCTTGGGGCAGGTACAGCCCCACACACAGTCCCTTGGGGCAGGTACAGCCCCACACACAGTCCCTTGGGGCAGGTACAGCCCCACACACAGTCCCTTGGGGCAGGTACAGCCCCACACACAGTCCCTTGGGGCAGGTACAGCCCCACACACAGTCCCTTGGGGCAGGTACAGCCCCACACACAGTCCCTTGGGGCAGGTACAGCCCCACACACAGTCCCTTGGGGCAGGTACAGCCCCACACACAGTCCCTTGGGGCAGGTACAGCCCCACACACAGTCCCTTGGGGCAGGTACAGCCCCACACACAGTCCCTTGGGGCAGGTACAGCCCCACACACAGTCCCTTGGGGCAGGTACAGCCCCACCCAGGTGGCAGCAGTATGGCCCCAGGAGGACACACCATGCCAGGTCCCTGTCCCGACCAGCCCATGTGGGACACGCTCCATCAGCCCAGGCAGCAGTGCCTTTATTGCCCTCACACACCAGATGTCCCTGAGCCCTCAGCAGCCATCGCCCCGCGGGGCAGGTGTGTACGCTCGGGCAGTCTCAAACCACATCTTCTCCACAGCTTCTCGCCCCACCTCAAACATGGCCAGCAGGTGCTTCCAGCCAGTCTTGGCCGTGATCATGAGGTACTCGGTGTTGTCGGGGTAGAGCCGCGCGGTGTGGGCGGCGATGACGAGGGACTGGGCGAACCTGCCGCTCACCAGGAGGAAGAGGGCAGCTCTCTCCTGGGTGGTGAGTGGCACCACGCTCTCAAACCCTGCCAGGACGTGCCCTCCCACAGACAGGGGCTCTGTGCTCTCGATCATCATGTACATGATGGCTATGGCCACCTCGAACACGTAGTAGCCGTAACTCATGTCGCTGAAGTCCAGGATGCCAGACACCCTGTACTGGGGGTTCTCTGGGCAGGCACAGCTGGAGTCCACCAGAACGTTGTGGTCGTTAAAATCGCCATGATTGATACCTAGACACACAAGAAATAGAAACTATTCAACATCATAGAATTTTAGGGGTTGGAATGGACCTTAGAGATCATCCAGTGCCAACCCCCTGCCCTGGGCAGGGACACCTCCCACCAGAGCAGGTTGCTCAAGACTTTGAACACTGCCAGGGTTGGGGCAGCCACAGCCTCCCTGGGAAACCTCTGTCAGTGTCTCACAGTTTAAACATATATGAAACAGCAGAATTGAACATTTTCCTCCCCATTTCTCAGTGAAACAACTTTGAGAAGATGCATAAAGGCTCAAAGGAACACTCAACCACAGAACCACACTAGTCTCCTGCAGCATTGAGTGCTTCCCAGGAATCTCTGCTGCACTGACAGCCATTGACAGAGGGAGTGTTAGGAGATCTGACTCCACTCTGGTACCACCTGGGATAGGCTGCATGTTTTCCAACAGCAGTTTCCAACTATAAAACTGTCATATTATCATCAACATCAATGTGAGCTGAATTCTAAAGGTAAGATATAAGTAAGTACTTATTTGGGCCTTTATGAAAGGTAGTAGCTCCCTCCATATATACTTAGTAAGCTGATGTAACAGCAAGAAAATCATCACCCTAATTAGAAGAAAACTTGTCAGAAAAATCAAGAACTGACCCTGACTCTGGACAGCACTTTCCTCCTGGCTTACGCTGTACTGTGTCCAGTCAGCACAGTATTTGCCCATGCCTACTCTAGGGAAGAAGGAGATTTACTTTTTGCCTTCTCCACAGACCCAAACTCTTGTAAGAAATTCCCGTGGCTCAGTCCAACATCATTACAATGAGAATAAAATACTCACAGGCTCGAAAACTGCTCAACTTGGGTATTACTTCCCCTTTAAACTGCTGGATAACTTGTTCCACAACTGCACGGTGTTTGTCCTGACCCAAGGCATAAATGTACTGTTCCAGAAGAGGAACATTTGCCAGGTTCCAGATGAACTGACCTCGATGCAGACTTTTTACTGATGGATGATGGAATTTCTTTGGGAAAAGCACACAAGAAAACAGGCCATAAGTAAAAATGCTGGGTTAATTAAAAGGCTCAATTCAAAGTCCCCATCAACTTTAACAGGTTTCTAATGAGACTCACCACAAAGCACCATGACTTGCACTATCGCTTTAGATCAAGTAAAAGAATGACCTGGAGCATGACTAAGGGAGTAAGGGAGGCATCTCAACACCTACATACAACCTGAATGGTTTTAGCCCCACATTTTAGGTGCAAAGATTATCTTAAGTCATTTGCCATTTAGATACTCTAAAACTGCTGTGGAGTTTCCCTCATGTGAGGGTCTGCAGTGACTACAAGGCCTTGCCAAGGCCAGAGCCAAGCCTGGGGAATTCTGCTCTGCAGAAAGCTGCCAGGGCACAAGAGACACAAAACCTGTCAGTGTGCTGGGCACAGGCACTCTGTGCTTTTCAAGGGGCCAAGCCTTAGGGACAGCTGTGTGTGAAAAATCCTGAGGACAGAACTGCCCTATGGAGACACTGCCCATGGCTTTATTCTTAGGAACATTTGCCTCTGTGCATCTGGGCCTCAATGTTTTAAACAAGTCCTTAACCTCTCCCTCTCAGCAAAATAGATGGTTTGGAAAGGGGCATTCAGAGAGGAAAAGCATCACTTCCACTGCACAGCCCATGCTTATCTTTGACTCCTCTAATGCTTATTTAAGTGTTCTCTGGATCACATTCAACCAGGGCATGGGGCAAATAAACCAAACTTCCCACGAGAGTGGCTGGTTTCCTCTCACAAATACAGTCCCAAACTGTGCTTGTAATTAAGGCTCTTAAAGATCACTAAATGATAGTCAAACTTGAACTGTAGGAACAAGGAAGGAACAAGATTGAGTCTAAACCAAAAATCCCAGTATAGGATCCCTAACGCTCCACACTGGCAGGAGTGTTGCCATGTGGTAAGCAACCACTGCCATCTTCCCAGCACAGATTCCAGTAGATATCCCTTATGAAAGGGTTGCCAGGCGTGTGAGAGGCAGCAAGTCATTAGCTCCTGTGACTGTAAGGCCACAGAGAGTCACTTTACAGCCAGAGATTTCTTTGCATTGAGTAGCTGTAAGGCACAGCCAAGCCAAAGGAGACACCACCAGAGAATGTGGTGGAATACCATTCTGAGCACGAGCAAAGCTTGGCACGTTGCTTTGCTATCCAATTGACAAAGTAAATGAACTGGGCAGAAAAGCCAGGCTGGATTTTCTGATCTGCCACCAGAAAAACTTAATGCCTTATGTATTATTTTTAGTGTCAATGATATTTTGAACCTTTGACAAGAATTACGGTAATTTGTTTTGTTTTAAATGACAAGCCTTCGTAGATGATAATCCATATGTTAGGGGCATAAAAAGCCTTTTCCATCAGAATTGCTTTCCCATCATCTACTGATCCTGCCCTCCTGGGCAGGATTATCCTGAGGCATATTTTGAGACTAGTTTGTCTATATGCACTGCTTTAATCGCACTGTAAGACAGTGACCAGCACGTCAGAGGGCAACAGCAAGTTATCTCAGCTCTCTCTCCCCACTGAAAAATGGCCCTGTAAGTTACAAATGTGTTTAGAAAAGCTGACAATTCACATTTCATAACTGTCTGAAGCTGGTAGCCAGAACATGAGAAGGAAAGGTTAATGAAAGGCAATAAATGATGCAAGAATTCTTTTATGTATCAAACTCAATTACTGGATGATTTATCAGCTTTATTATCCTGTAAAATTACAGAGTAAAGAAAGAACTTAGTTTGCATTAAGATTGAGTGAAAGTGGCTCAAAGGAGAAGTGTCAGAGATCTCTGTTCGTGGGCACAGCTGGCATTGTGGAAAAGAAACCAGCTGTTCCCAGTGTTAAATGGTCACAGGAGACAGAAAGCAAGTCAAAAGCAATTTAAAATAACAGATCAGCCAGCCAGGCACTGTACAAAAACACTTTAAACCAAGCTTGGCATGCTTCCAATCTCAGCACCCTTGAAACATTAAACAGGTGAGCTCTGCACACAAGTAAAAAGAAAATCTTATCTCCCTGGCTCATGGTACAGAAATGCACTGCAAAAGGATCATCAGTGCCATGTCACTCTGATGCCCTTGGGGAAACTCTGGGAGACTGGCACCAGAGAGATGAGTCAAATGGACACCACTTGGCCTGTGGCAGCTCAGGACTGCAGACAGCAAGCACAGCAACAAACACTGAGGGGACATTCCCTACCAAAGCAGAGTGTGAGGCTGGAGCAAGGAGAACTCACCTCTGCAAGTGCTTTGTCCATGCTGGCAGCTAACCGACCGATCTCGTACAGAATCTGAGTGTTCGTAGCAATCTTGGCCACTGGTGTCCCTGGCAGGTAAGTCAGCAGCCTGACCATGTACTTCTTGTGCTCTGATCCAGCATCTGACAAGCAAGGAGAGATGCAGTCAGTCACTTTGATATGTGTTACTGAGCACTAGTTAATGCAAGAGGTAAAAAAGTTTTGTCCCAGTGTAGGTTAAACAGACTTCATGCAGAGATTTGATTTACCAAAATGTTGTACAGTCTGTGCTGGATTGTCCTTGTGTTAGGGACTGACTCTGCATACAGCAGGGTTCCTCCACTGCCCACACACACCCATTTATGATTTGGCAGCAGGAGGGCTCAGGAATCCCAGATTTGTATGGAAAAGTGAACTGACAGTGACAGGAAAAGCTAAATGTCAACACATTTTTTTTCTGCCAAGCACTTTGTTCTGGCTTCATAGATGGGCTAGAACTGTATTTTACACCATTCTGTATGCAAATAATTTCGAGCATCACTTGGTCAATGAGCCTTTTTCCTCCTTTCCTTGTGCATGGACATGTCAGATGGATGTTTTCTCCAATTCATTATCCTGAAGTGATTTCCTAAGTGTTCTCATAGTTAATTATTACTCTCCTTGACTTGCTTTGCTTCTGGTATTTTAAGTTTGGACTATGATGGCTGGAACACAGGTCACTTGATACATATCCCCTAATATTTCAACACAAGACTAGAGTTTCCCTTTAGCATACACATGGTGTGGCATGTAGGAAGCTACTGCTGAGCCAGGGGTGAGAGAGGGGCAGGACTCACCTCCCAGCTCCAGAGACATGATGTTACCATCTTTTGTGAGGTAAGGAGTAGCTGAAGGAAAGCCTTCAGCACTGAGGAACATCATGGCCCGGGTCTGCACTTCAATGAGGTCAGGCTCCTGGCTGTCTTCTGAGTTGGTGATTTTGAGGACATACTCCTCAGCACCCTCAGCCACAGCATCATTCCTTGAGACATGCACATGGAAGTTCTGATCATCATAGCTGGGCAGTGGCCTGATCCAAGACACCTTCAATCCAAACACTCTGTCAACCAATTCAGCTGCTTCTTTCTCACCAAGGGCTGGTTTGGTGAAGGTCTGGGGTCGATGCTCATTTCCAGAAGACATCGTGCCTCTAGGAGAAAAAAAGAAGCTGGATGATGTGATCTGAAGCACTAGTAACTGCAACTAAATGCATTCAGCTACTGGAGAAGTTTCCTGTATTTATTAAACAAGCACCAGACCCCACCAAGCCAGCCTGGGTTTTGCCCATCATGGCTTATCAGCTACTTAAGCTGCACCTCCAGAGAGAGATTTCTAGAGCAATGCACTCAATCTGTTCAGCGAATAAGCTGTGAAAAGCTTATTAACTAGGAGTACTTTTATTAGCTCCTTTCCAGTAGCAGCCTAACCTGGTATTGGTAGGCACAGAGTTGCTGACTCCCCGACCTGGAAGTTATCAATTCCCATCTGCAAACGGCAAGAAACATTTCACTAGATCCTACCGTTAAAGCAGGCAAAATCTCTCCACACTTGCTCACAGGGTTAAGGAAAGCAGCACAGACCTGCAGCTGCTCGCTGGAATGTCGCAGCCTCCCTGCGGCCAAACAAGCAACCCTTGGACTCGGCGGGAGCTGCGCCAACCTTTGCCCAGCCCGGGGAGGACAAGGAGCTGCGGGAGCAGCAGGGAGGATGGTCGGGGAGCTGCAGGGAGGATGGTCGGGGAGCTCGGGGAGCTGCAGGGAGGATGGTCGGGATCCTCCTCTGCCGCAGCGCGCTGTCCCCACGAGCTGCTTTTGTTTTCCGAGAGGGAAAGGAGAGAAACGACTTCCTGTCACAAAAGGAAAGAGAAATATCTGTTCAAATCCTTTTATCAGCACAGCAGATCAAAATCTCTGCCTAACGCTTCGACCCGTGTGTTAAAAAATTATATAACCAGCCTGAGATAGCTTTCTCAGGATGTTTTGGGTCCCTCAGTTCAGGAGGGATATTGAGGTGCTGGAGCAGGTCCAGAGCAGAGCAACGAGGCTGGTGAAGGGACTCGAGCACAAGTGC